AGATGAATAGAAATGGATCATTAATTAAGATAGAGAGAGCTAGCCAATAAGAAGCCTGAGCCATTGGTCAAACAGTTTATAATTAATATAAGCCTCTGTGTGTTTATTTGGGCCTAAATGGCTGCGTGAACAGGAGGGACAGAAAATCCATCTACACTGTTGGCATTTATATGTCTTCTATGGAAAAATGTTTATTCAGGTCCCTTACACATTTGAAATTGCTTTTTCCCCCATGGTATAGTTTCTTTATATACTATATGCCAGGTGGGTGGCTGCTTTCTGTACCAGTGTATGTATACCAAGGCTGTCACAAGATAGGGTGCTGCAGATAACATAAGTTTATTTTCCCAGAGTCTCCAGGAAAGCGGTTCAAAACCAAAATGTGAGCAGGGGCGGGTTGGTGTTTCATGGCTTAGAGCTGGTCACCTTTTCATTGTGTCATTAGACAGTCATGGTGCTCATCATGTATCTTATAGTATGTTTCTCTCCTATAAGGAAGGACCTCAGTTGGATTGGATTAAGTCTTCAACTTTATGGTTTCATTTGAAATTTGGTAATGTCCGGTCCCTAAGCATACCTCCTCCTGAAAAGAGGCATGACTTTTTGTTTGTGTGTTGTGGCTCTTATGTACAAGATCTTTCCTACAAGGGCAACCAAGTGACTCCAGGTCTGTGGGTTTAGGTCTGAAAACTGAGTGAAAGGTTGTGCCTCTCTCCTATGGCAACGAAAGAGTGTGGCTAACTGACCTAGAGCTTTATGTGTTAAAAACAGAAAGAATTCTCTATTTAGGCTGCCTGCACATTACATTCTGAAGACATCTCTGGGCCCAGGTAGTCTGCTACTTATAAAGATAAAAGACTTTTGATGGAGGACATCCTTCTGTATATATGTTTCTCTTATTGGTTGAAGATTAAAACACTATCTGGTCAATGAGGCAGGAAGATAGGCAGGACTAGAAGATGAGGAGAACTCTGGAAAAGGTAGGCAGGAGAGCTCACCAGAGACATTTGCCATGTAGACCACAAAGGCATTCTCTGGTAAGCTAAGACCTTGTAGAAATACATAGATTAGTAGCTATGGGTTAATAATTAAGACAGAGCTAGCCAATAAGAAGCCCTAGACACCGGCCAACAGTTTATAAGTAATATAGCATCTCTGTGTGTTCATTTGGGGGCTGCAGGACCAGGCTGGTAAGAAAACTACAGCTACAGACTTTGTTGGTTAAGTGCAGCTAGGCTTCTGCTATTCTGGGATCCTGCCATCTTCATGTAAATCAGCGTAGTCAGCTAAATGGTGCCATCGTCTACTGTTACAACTGGCCCACAGAGACAGAGTCTACAGAGATGTTTTTGTGTCTTTCTCAACACATCAGTAAATGGTGTACATTCTCTGTCTTGGTATGGAACACAGTTGGGGGAGGGTTTGCACATTGCATATGATAAATTCAATATAATATTTGTTTCTCTCTAAATCATTGACTTTCCTTTTCCATGTCATGTCATGAATGTCTGGCATCTCAGTCTCCTAAACTGCCCATTAGTCAAATCACCTCTAGCTGCATGAGCTAAATGACTAAGAGTAGAACTACATTAACAATTATTTTTATTTTCTGCATATTGGTGTTTTGCTTGCATGTATATGTGTGCCATATGCATGCAGTGCCCAATGAGGCCACAGGAGGGCATCAGATCCTCAGAACTTGAGTTAGACTGGGTTCTGAGTTGTCACATGGGTGCTGGGAACACAACCTGAGTCCTCTGTAAGAGCAACAAGTGCTCTTGGCCACTGAGCCTCTTTCCAGCCCAGAGTGGCAATACATTTTTGACTATATCTAGTGTTACATTTTATCTTTCAAGGCCCCAAACCCTTAGGAACCATTTCTATATATATGGTTCCCAGATTTTTGCCAACATCTCCGGTGTGTGAGTTATTGCTCCATCGGATTCCACAAGCGCACACGCTAAAATGTGATCTTTGCCTCCGGTGTAGCCGCTCAGAAGTTGACTGGTAGTTATTTGAGAAAGACACAAATTTCATGTCAAGGAATCTGCCCTTGATGAGGACATCTACTTCTGGTGGATTTCATAGAAAGATGAGTATATTAGAAAAACATACATGTGCCCACAATCTCCCAAACCTTAAATAGGACAAGATGAAAAAAAATTAACTGTTTTCATTGTGCGGATGTTTTGACTGTATGCATGTCTGTGTACTACGTGTATGCCTGGTGTCCAAAGAGACCAGAAGGGTGCCCAGTTCCCATGTGTTACTGGAGTTACAGGTGGTTGTGAGCTGCCATGTGGATGCAGAACGCAGGTCCTCTAGAAGTATAGCCAACGATCCAACCATTAAGCCGTCTCGCCAGCCCAAAAATGACAAGGTTTTCTAGCAAAGAAGACCCAGTGTGCTAGCCACAGAGTGACAACCTGCTTTTACTGCTAAGCTAAGCATGGAGTGATGGCACAGGTATGTGTTGGGGGAGGGTGGAGCATACAGGGCAGGACTGCTAGATTTATCTGTAGCTGACTCATCCCAAATTTTAGAATTTTATCATTCACCAAATGAATCGATCCACTTTTTAGAGGAAAAAAAAAAACTTGTCACGTCTGTGAATTCAACAGTTAACAATAAGTCAGCCACTCCAAAACCAAAATAGATCATTTGGTCTTCAGTTATATAACTCGTATGGCTGCAAGAGGGGTTCTTTTAGAATTGTAATGGGCTCTCTCTGATCCTCATACCATAGGAGAGTTGATGGACCTGGGCTTGCCATTTCTCTTTATAAGCATTCAGAAGTATGCCAAACCAGCCTGCCCTGCCATTGTCCTTGTAGCCATGAAGTCAAATGTAGCTATCACTTAGTCCCCCATGTACTTGTTCCATTGGCATTTCATCAGAGTCAACCACAGGTGATTGCTTAATTAACTGAGATGCTCTTCATGACCCAAATTATCATTCTATTTCCCTTTGGCAAGGCGCTCTAGGCAAAGGCCAGTCAATCTGACCTTTAAATCCTGTCTTTGCAGGTCTCTCTCTAGGGACTACTTCCTGGACACAGAAGGCTTAATAAAACCAATTCTTAACTCTAAAAGAGAATTAAATAACGAGGGATTCACTAGCTAGAAGAAAACCAGAGAGAATTCAGACAGCAGCTTTGGAGCGCAAACCCTGTAATTACCTCTTGAGCTGATGAAGGGCCCCCCAAAAGACGGCCCTGCCCATGCAGGCAAGGGCTAATATAGAGATTTCATGGCAACTGCAGTATGGCTGATTGAAGACTGGAGGTCACTGTGATACCGCCCCCGGAACTTGCTAGATAGTGCCGGGAAAGCTGTTTATGTCTTACGCCATTACAAGACTGTGGGCCACCAAGGAGTTTGGACTTGAACAAGTCAGATATGCTAGGAGAAACTGCTTATCAGATGTACCAGAACCAGGAAGCAAGTTCCTTGATTTCCTGTAACGTCTCTTCAGCACCCTCTACTGACAAAACGTCCCAGAAGGAGAAGACAACCCCACTCAAAGGGCCCAGACTCATTTTCAAGGCGCAGTGCAAAAGGGGTGAATCTGGGGGTCGAGAGGCTTTAATTCAATAGCCGGCCCAAGCTTTCCTCCAACCCCTCTCATTAGATTTGGTCGACAGATGTCTACATCTGCCCGCATGAGGCTTCGTCAGCCTCTTTGGCTCCCAGGTTTCACCAGGATGTCGCCAAAAGCAGGAGGAAGAGATAGATGAGTCCGAACAGGATCCTCAGCTATCTTGTCTACCTCTCCTTGCAGCCCTTCCCCGGCCCTTCCAAGGCTCGCTGAGCTGGGTGTTCCAGGGCAGGGGACCCGAGCAGGGGGTGGAATTTGGGGAGTGAAGCCCGGGCGCTACGGGACGCGGGCTGCCGGAGCCTGGCAAGCACCCTGCTGCTGGCCTCAATTCCTGCAAAGCCACCTCCCTTGTCACCGAAGCCTCGGGAGGTCTTCCTACTGTCAGGGCCCAGCGAGGCAGGCGCTGGGCGGGCCTGGCGGGCGGCGCGGGGGGGTTGGGCGCC